ATCACCGCTCCCGTTGCAAGCGCGCTTTATAAACCACGTGACTTCGATTGAGCGGTTGCACGCACTCTGCAATCTAGGCGCAATATATCGCGAACGTGTCGTGAATGTTGCTGCGATTGTTGTTGCTGCTGCATGTATCGAGCCAGACCGGCAGGTATGAAAAAAAGAAAGAAAAGAAAAGGTATACTTTCTTGCCAGCGATACGATGTCGTCAAGCCAGGTTAGGGCTGTTTTTTATTATTCTTTTTTTTCGAAATCCCTGCCAAGTTTGTACCAGGAAAGTGTACGCGAAGTTATCTGGCATTGAGAGAGCCACGGGATTTATGTTTGTAAACAAATTCACGGGCACCGCCCCAAGTTCAGGCCTTGTGCGACTTTCGCGCTTTCTTTGCTCGCCTCTTTTTGTACACCTGTGGCACGCGCGCGGCGTTTCAGAGCGCAATTAGAATTAGAGTCGGCTCCGAGAACGACGTGGTTAATTATTCGCTGCCGCGTTCTTGTCGTGTGACAGTTACACACCGTATACGATTTCGTTGGCTGACACCGGTTATAATCAGATTAGACGGTCTGACCTCGCCCCGTAGGTGGCTGGGAGTGTATGTAGTGTTTCCTAGTAGTATACTGGTTACCGAATGCCCCATTGTGCTGCGGATAAAAGAGGATACACTGCATGGAGGGTATTCAAGTACACTTTTTAACGCGACAGCGTTAAGGACCTTGTGTCGCAGAAAATCTGGCGTCGGTGCCGTGACGAGAAAAGCCGGCGTCGGCGGCGTGCCGCGAAAATCCCTGATTGGTCGATAGGGTCATGACGTCAAAGCTACATGACGTCACGCGGGAATTTCAAAGAACGCTCAAGTGAAATGTGACGTCACGCTAATGAAAGTGATTTATAAACATGACATGCAATGCGAATTAAAGGTGGCCGCACACAGTGGGCGGGAAAACGCTCGTGTACGCTCCGGTCTGGCAACAGTGGGTATGCCTTGGCATAACAATGGCGGCGTTCAGAGGCCGTATCTACTTGAGTTGGAAGCCTGATGGCTTTGACTAGGAACCTTTTGGGAGCATGAAGTCAGCAAACGTTAAGAAACAGCTCCTTCAGGCACCTAAACATTCAACGTCTCTGAGTGCATCGGTTCTCAATCTGGGTTCCTGTGTACCAGGGGTTCCCCAGAGTACCCTCATGAATTCCCCAAATACTTACATTTTCTTGACGATCTCTGCCCCCAAGTAGTGTGTTTTCTCAGTTTGGCATCATTTAAGCTGATCTGAGCTATCCATTATTGCATATCTATTTGCCAAACATTCTCTATAGCATGCCCATTTTCGTTTACAAGGTCTTATAGGTTTCTGTACTGCTTTATTATATCAACGATGAGGCAGGGAAGGGTTCATTGGAAAGATAAGTGTTAGTCCAGATAGAAAATTTCTTAATAGAACAGCGACTGTTATCCTGAAACTTTTACAAGGTTTCCTTTCAAGTTCTTCGACTGCATTTGTGATGTGTTCGGACTAAGCTCGGTGCCGCACACATTCAAATAACAAAAATGGCGACTGGAAGAAAAGATTCCTCCAGATGGATACTGCAGCTTGCCTTTTGCCCTTGGGCATGCCATTCACATGGAAATCCAAATCGTATGTCTACACGGAAGCGGAAATACACGCAAGTCTTGATGACTGCAACTTTGAAGAAAGAATTCTTTCCCGGTGTCTTCGACAGATGCTCGGAGGCCGGGTGTGATGGACTTTTTTTTTTTCTTTCTCGGGGCGTATTGCACACAGCTGAGGATGACAAAGGTTATTTCAGTGTTGTTGGTGTGTATGGTACACCGAAACCACTTAGCGCAGAAAACGCTTCTTGCGTGATGATGAGAAAAGTTCTGTGATGGGCGAGCAAAGCGACCGAGAGTCCTTGCAGATGATGAATCTTCTGGGATAATCGCCCTCAGCGAGGACGCGGGTCCTCGTCCAGGACATAATGTATCCTTCTTTTTTTTTTTTTTCCTTGTCGAGTGATAAAGTGTTGGGTCTCACACGATTGACACACCGCACGTTATCTTGTGTGGCAATCATCAGGGTTCATGGGCAAACCAACAAACGGACACCGGAATCAAAGACGCGTATTTCTGTCTTGAGCTGCCCGGCCAGCTGACGCTTCATCTGAGAAAGCATGAACACACAGAGATGCTAAGCGTCGGACGCTGAATTACGCTGCCGGATGTGACGTAAAAAGGCTAACATATTTTTAACTTTATTTTTTACTGTTACCAGAGTCTCCGCGCACGAACTCAAGCGTAAACGCGTAAAACGCTGGATTACTTTAAACTCGGTGCTGTCATCACGACGCTGTTGTCTTTATGTATTCAGCAAACACCATGGACATGTTCACAGCACGCTGCGTCGGGCAACTTGCTTCCCACGGTTTCCGGGGGAAAAACAAAAGTGTTGCAATTTGGGTGTACTTAGTGTGAAGCGCACGCTTTTCCTGGCACATTTTTTTTTTTTAAATAGGCGTGTGGGCGATTATCACGTGCGCATCGTGCTCTGGCTGGCCGTGAAAGCGTGAGTAATGCGTGTATAACGCCGTACCTTCCTCGCTCACGTGGGGGGGCACTCGTTTTATCGTGAGGGTGTACGAAGGGAGACCTTGCCGGGTGTGCAGACGAGTCCGACGATGATTTTATTGTTTCGAGCTCGCACGGCCTTGTTGAGCACGCTTTTTAGGCCCTCGGACAAAACGCGCCGACATTTCTTTTTCTCTCTTCGTTTTCTTTTTTTCCTCTCCTTTTTTGGCTGGGAGGTGGGATTCTCAAAAAAAGGTGCAGCAACGGGGGTTAAACGTCACGAACATATATAAGGTTCTGGGCAGATGTAACGTCGTGGACGAAAGTAGCGTTACAGACAAGTGTGACGTCACGGGCAGGTGTAACGTCACGTGCAGATGTAACGTCACGGGCGAAATGTGCATCTTTTGAAACTTGATTTAATTCCGAAACTCAAGGGAGACGGATTCTCTGTTTACAAAAGTTGGATGGGTGCTTAAACATTTTTTTTCTCCCGTATATAATAACTCGCTTCTAATAGATAATAGAGGATGCTGACTGTACGAGGAGAGTATACGTATGGTATGTTCTGCTGTCGTTTCTTCTTTTACCTGGCGGTTGTGTCTTTGCTGCTGGCTGGAGCGTGCTCGCGATCGGAAACGAGCGGGTTGAACTGGGTCGCCGTACCTGCCTCGTTGCCGTGCTGCGGGGCATCCGCCTCGACGCCGTGTTTTCTTAATGGAGTTCGTAATTATCAGCGTGCAGCGAGTACGAAGGTGAGAGAGAGAGAGAGAGAGAGGGGAACGGGCATCGATAGGAATGTGATCAGGGTCGCAGGACCTCTCAGAAAAAAAAAAGCTGTAAGGTGTTATCGTCATTGTTTAGACGTTACTATTCCTTTGAGATAGTTTCCCCAGCATTCCATCTTGAGTGATAGCCCATCCGTGTTTATAGGACAAATATGTTTAAAAGAACACGAAGAATGTATTTATGTGGTGGACTGCGAGAATAAGGTATGTCGGCTAGGCCATTCCCATTGCGCTTGTTTACAAGCAAAAAAAAAAAAAAAGTGCGACGTGTGGTTTGAAGGTTAAAGCGACGGTACTTGAAGTGCTTGGCGACTCTTTTTTCCTTCAGGAGAGCGAAGAAGGTGTGAAATTCTATCTTATGCGAAGATACGCGGGTGGTCTATCATGGCTGGCGCGATGCGCGTGGTTCTCATGCTTTGTCTAACCTTAAAGGACCGTTCACACACTTGCGACCTCTTAGGACCCTGTGCCTTGGAACCTCTTGAAACCTCTTACGACGAGAGAACAAACTGGCGCCACCTATCGGTTAGCCCTGAAACACTTGACGGTCTCGCGTATATCCCCCCACCTTTTTTTTTTTTTGACACCAAAGTTGTATATGACTTAAAGTTCTGGATTTTTTTTTTTTTTTTGTATTGTCGTCCTCACTGAAAAGAAAACCTTCAGTGATTGAAACGAAAAGTGCATATCACGCATAAAACATACAGCACAGCATTCGTTTCCGTAAAGGACAAGCATCTGAACCAGATAATTTGTGACAAGGTGCTCGTCCTGATAACAATGCGAAGCAAAGAGCGCTCCCCCAATACGTTTCGCGGTAAAGATTAGTGTTGCGCAAGCAGCCGCGGCGACGGCAGCATGTGGTGTGGGTAGTGACGTCACTAGCCTTTCATATCACAGAAGTTCGTCACCCATTTTGTATAGACCCTTTTACTGTTTACAAACATGAACGGCCGCTTGCGTCCCGAGCGACTTCCGGTCGTACCGTCTTTGCCAGCCTGTCGAGCTTGCTTATGTCACCAGTGCTAAAAAGCATAAATGCTGCACGGACAACAACGCCGGAGATCTAATGAGGGCCTTCGGCTGTTTAATTTCTTGGAGGATTCAAGTTGGTTTACAAGAATATTCAACATAATGAGATAAAACAAAGCAAAAAGGTGGAAAAGGAAGCGGCAAACCGGAGAGGACAGAGCGCTGACTCGCAGCTATGTATTTTTATTTTTACGTATAGACGAGGGGAGAAAGACAGCGCTCATTGTTCCACACGTTCACACGCGCATCTTCTACCGATGATATCTACGCATTACTGCACGCGTTGAACCTTCATTGTCAGTTTCAGGAATTTTAGCTCCTTACTGGACAAAGTCACTGACGCTGAGCTAAGCTCAGTGCCAGTTCGGGCCTTATAGCCCGAACTGAATTGGGTGCTAAGGTGGCTCTCGCCTTTACTGCGGTTGGTGCTGCTTGCGCCGTGACGTGGCACTTTTGGCGCTGTTTGATTGACTCCGTCGGACTGTAGCTTTGGCTTGATTTGAAACATTTCAAGCACGGTCGATCACGTCGCTGAATGTTCTCTGCCGAGACTCTGGCTGCGCCGAATGTACCACGCCGTGATCTCTAAGTTGGCGTTCCCTGTTCTCTGCAGCCCTTCGACTCGACAGTCCTGGGTCGGCGGTGGTCGGGACCAGACCGCAGAGTGCCACCGGAAGTGGAGGCGGCGACGGCGGGAAGTACGCCTACGACAACCCTTACTTCCGGGACGAGGAGAGTTCGATCGATGTCGTGGACAAAGGTAAGAAGATGAAAAAGAAAAAAAAGAGCAAGTTATTGTCGTGTGCTATGCTCTGCGTCACTATAAAGTGCAGGCGTAGGAAACGCCAGGCGAAGAGAGAAAGGGCAAGCAGTAGGAAGGCGGGATGTGAGAGAAGGGCAATGGAGGGCGAGGGAGAGCACTAGGAACGCTAGAGAGGAGATGGGGTTTATCTCGTCTTCCCCAACCTTCCTTGTGCTGGCCTTCCTCCCCTCGTCCGCTGTTGCCTTCGTCTGTACTGCATGCGATCAGTGGCACGGAGTGTAGGAGGAATGCGGTATGGCAAAGCGAAGTCTTCGTCGATGTGAGTCATGATTTGCCAGAACCGCGTGGTCTGGCAGGGTGTCGGCCAGGGGTATACGGTATTCACAACTTCTACCCCGTGCATTCAATTTCCGTTTTTCTATTTCTCATTTGGGCCGCCAGGCCGCGGCAGTTCAGGTTGTACGTTTTGGGCAGGCGGTATAGCTCCCCGTTCGCTCCTTCGCGTCTTTTCCGCTGGGCGGCGTCGCTACCCGTGAATCGCGGCTAGGTGGCGTAAGCTACCGCCCGATCCAAAGGGCTCAGCCGGATTCATCCATCCATCCATCGCGGTCACACTACTATAATACATTGTGTACGAGAGAATGTCTGCACACACTGAGGCGTGTTTATTCCTTGTATAACGGTCACATTGGTGCATACAGAAAACTCTCTTTAGACACGTTCGAAGTGTGTATGAAGTAGAGACATGCTTGGGGGCGTGTCCACAGATAGTGTGTGCAGAGAACTCCGCGGGTCTTTTGTACGATGTATGAGGAGCACTGCGGCTGCAGTTTTGGAGTTAGGAAAGATTACAAAGTCCCACACTTCTACGCGCCTATTTAAAATTTTGATGTTCGCTGACGGCTGAGCTGGCAACCAAATTTATAAGTTATTGGGGTTTTTTGCATTTTGTCCTTATCGTTCTTTTTAAACTAAAAGGCTCCACTGTCAACACTGAGAACATGACGACAATTTTTCCAAAATTATGGGGGAAATAACTCATACTTTTGGTTATTAATCTAGGTGGCGCAAGATACCGCCCCATTAGCATCCATCCTTTTCCTCGAAAACTTTTCTTTACCTGTAACAGTCTATAGGATGTATTGGTAAAATACGCACGCGTATGTGTTCATCATGAAACATTATTAGGACTTGTACGAATACTTATCACTGGGTATACGCCCGCATGCTTCAAAACCACATGCACAAATCAAATAAAAAGCGGAAAAGGTATATGGGTTTGGGAGAGCCCAGCAGCATCTACCGCAGTAACGAGGCAGCTGAGCAACGAGAAGGTTTTTTGTACTCAAAGAACTTCCTGGATGCTCTTTGTGCAAGCGAGATCTGTGGCTGTTGTCCGACCGTCCGTCCGGGCACAGCGAACGCAGAAATGCCTTTTTTTTCGTGCTGCGTCCTTCGATGGTTCGGCTGATAGCTGCGGCGCATGTGCAAAGACCTGCTTCCTGTCGCTTTGGATATGTAGCGCGCACTTTCTCCCCCTTACAAAATGGTTCGCGGAATTTCGGATTCGTTTCCGTGACCGCACGTGACAGGGCGCGTGCACGGTGACGTAGATCGGATGGCGGAAACGCGATCGCAGCGACGTCATGTGGCAACAAAAGTAATCAGAGGAAAACCATACAAATTAGGTCATTTCATATTTTTCTTTTTTCTGCGTAAAAAGCAAAAAGACGTGCGTCGCTAAAAGAAGACAAAAAAAAGTGTCTTGAAATAAATTTGAGCCTTCCCTCTTTAGTGAAGAAGGAAGACCGGCGAAGCTGTACTATGGTGGGAATGAAGTAACGGCCGGCCGTAAGCCGGCAAGCCTGAGTGGAAAGGCTTAGAGTTCCTGTATAGCTCCCCCGAAGGGGGAGCAGAGTTACGCATTTGTTTTCCCCGCGCCGCCACGCCGCTATTCGCCGAGATCCATCACGTGAGGAGCAAAGCATCCGGCGCCGTGTAAGAAAGCCACCTTTACGGTCGCTCCGCTGACGTTTCTCGCGCCCCGGCGTATGTTCCCCTGCTTTCGCCCTCCTTTTTCTCCTCTCCTGTTTTCCATGCGCGGCGGCGCGCGCGGCGCCGCTATTCGCCAAATTTAGTCACGTGAGGAGCAAAGCATCCAGGGCGTGCGGGAAAGCCGGCGCTACGGCCACCCGCCGAGGCTGAATGCGCAACTCTGCTACCGTAGGTAGCATATACAGGAACTCTAGAAAGGCTCGAAAGGTTGCGCCATCTACGAGCGACGGCGGCAAGCAGACAACCGGCAAACAACACTCTGGACAGCTGACGCCATCTATGAGTGACGGCGGCAACCAGAGTTTTGTGTCGACATTTCTTTGCGGGGGACACGATCCTCGGTAAACTAGCCCTTAACAGCTCCGCTGTAAAATTGTGCACCAGAAGCTTAGACCTATCATGCTAAAACAAACTACACCGGCCAAACCAATCGCGGACAGTAAATGCGGCGTGATTCTGCGAACGACGTATGCGGAAGCAAGTCGTCTGCTTCTTGCGGAGGAGTTGCAGTGACGTCAGAACGACGCCGAGCTCTGATTGGTTTCGATAAGGAGGATAGTGGATAGACCTCAAGGTAGCTAGCATTGAGGTCTACCCACTATCCCTCTATCAGAGTCAATCAGAGCTCGACATCGTTCTGACGTCACCGCAACCCCTGCAAAAGAAGCAGACGAACTTGCGCCCTGCAAAGTCTTCGATGCCTCAATCTTGACACACGCGGAAACGTTCCCTCGATGTGACAAAGAAAAAATATGAGTTAAAGGAGCTGTGCAACAATTTCAGGGCTTTGCTTAAATAATTGTGGAAGTTGATGCCTGACACTTCTGCAGTGAACTACAGAAAACAGATTTTGCCTGGATACCCTAGTTTTTACTTAAAAAAATGAAAAAGATCCAGGTTTTTGCCGCCTCTCAACTCGTGCATCGTCTTCCGGGTCACGTGCACAGTGACGTCACTAGAGTAGGCGCGGAGTTCCGGAAAAGTTCTCTCTTTAGAGCCATCAGCGAGCAGCGAGAACTCATCCGCTCGCGACCGCGTGACCACCCGTCCTTGCCCGTCCGGCGCTGTCCCCCTCCTCCTCCGGCTTCTGGCGGCTGTTCGCGGTTTTGTAAACCTAGGATAGATGGCGCCACTAAAACTCCGTATAATAAAAGTTTTGTCGATGATACCAGGGTTTTGACGCATTTATATATATGTTGGAACGACAAGATTTATAAAAAAAGTTACCTTTTATCGAGCAGGTATTCGCACAACTTGCTATCTTTCTTACAACGACCCAAGTGACGTCACGCCGCTTGTTTCTCATGGCCGCCGCTCGTGGCTGCAGGTCGGGAAATATTCCAAGTTTTGCCTCGCTATTACGCGGTGGAATCGCAACATTGCGATGAAAGGAGGTGTGTTTTCTGCCATTTGTAACACAGTGAACAATATCAAAAGCAGAAAATGCCAATTCTTTCAACGTTAAAATCGTTGCACAGCTCCTTTAAGATATTCACTTTGAAAAGCCGTGTCCGCGGCCAAACGCCACCTGCTTATCCAGCGCGAACCAGGATTTCGTCGCGGAACAGCACACGGATGACTGTTTTCACGCTGTGCAACGGACACACTATAATCGACTGAACAACGTCGGAGCGATCGTACGGCCCTTGGAACGCGTCCCGGACCGACATGGAACGCAAAATCAAAGCCCTGAGCAAGACGAATGACGGGATTTGGTTCCAGCGAGCTCTTTGGTCTTCCTTGCTCGTTTCGCGTTTGGTTTCTTTCGTTCGTCTGCTCGTTTTATGTTTGGTAGCAGACGACGCCGCCATTTCCCTTTCGCTGGCGTCGTGCTCGATCTTCTGCTTTTGATTCTTATTAGTATCATACTTATGATTTCGTCGTGCTTGTACATTTCCAGGGTGTCTTCGTAATGATATTCCCCCCTTATTTTTGTTTCTTCTTCCGCTTGTTCCCTCTGATTTTGTGCGCGGTATTTTATTTGTTTGTTTGGTTGGTTGGTTCGTACACGACTGGCGGAGCGTCACTTTCAAGTTCAATGATATCGGGCACCCTCTCCCAGCGCTCTTGGAAGAACGTTGAGAGCAAGGCTCCATCTGAGAGCTTGTTCCTTCCTTTTATTTGTTTGTTGTTGTTGACGTTGATATAGATTTTTTTTTCTTCTATCTTCTATCGTCCTGCTTCGGAGGCAGGAGGGTGAGGGTTGCAGACTAGCAACTATGTAGTTTTCGTTTCTTTTCTTGGTGTCTTTACGCTACCAGGAATCGCATCACCTTTTTCATCCTTTCCTGTCGTTTTTTTTTCCGTTTATTCTTGTGCATGTAATTTTTCTATTTTTTTTTTCTTGCTTGAGAGGGAGGGGGAGGAGGAGGAGGTACGACCTGTTCGCGTGTGGAAGCCTCTTTCAATCTTATTACTCTTTTTTTTTTCTGTGCAGGCTGAGATATTATATGCTTTCGTTTCGACGTATATACTTAGTAGGTAGCCGAAAACCAGTTCTGCCCCTTGCAACCCCCTCCTGTCCCCCTTGTCCTCTATTTCTTGTCGTTAGGCTTAATTCGTTAATCCGCACTAAAACACAAAACAAGAGACATGGCTGGTTGTCGCGACCCCAGCGTCTTTCTTTTTTTATAATTATTATTTTTGGTTTCGCGTATATATAATGCGACGTTTGAGTTTTAAGAGATGCCGCGACAATGTAAACTGTTTATAACTTTTTTCTTTTTTTTTTTTTTTACGTGTAATGATGTCGTTGTTTACTATGCTAGCATAAACAGTCCTTTTATGGGAACGAAGTTGTCAACCTGCCGAGGATTTGATGTCTGGTTCGGGGAAGGCAGTGTGAGAGGAATGGGGGATCACTGAACTCCAACAAGCATTATGCAGAGTCGCTCTACAAAGCTACGCCCAGAGCGTCGTCAAACCCTGTCCGACACTGTCAC